GGAATAGGAAACGTCATGAATAATGCATACACGGCTGCATGCATGGAAAATGAATTCGTTAAAGAACTTATAACAAATAAAAAAAAATTGGACCATCGCGTGTTTTTTCGTTCATGTTTATGTTATAAGAGAAAGTGAAGATGGAAGTGTTTTTCTTCGGTCGTGATTATACTGACACGAATTTCACGTGCCCACTTTAAAAGTGAACGTTTGGCATACACACACGGTTTTGGAAATTCGGTTTTGGCCTTGTTTCGCTTTGATTTTGTCTCTACCACAACTTTGTTCTACAACAATACATTAATGCATTACAAAAAATAATATTTTCGATTTTTGTTGACTCAATACTTTAAAAATCTAAAAGACTATAGACGTTTAGATTTTTATAACATTTAGTTATAATTACGCCTTATAAATTATTCGTTAATTAATTGGTTATTTAAGTTTTATATGGAGATTTAGGAGTTGTTCAACTTGAACTGAACACTCTTCATTTATTATAAGGTGAATTCAATCTAATTTTTTACAAAGCCAACAATGTGAAGTAATGTGCATATTTAAGAAGGACTAAGGCAAGTATAAAGGTATAGTTTAATAATTAATGAAATTTAGAACAATATTAAACTTAAATAAAAAACAAAATAATAAATGGCCACTTAATAGTACGTTCAAAATCCAAAAATACTTGGTATTGTTTTGTAGTCGACGAGGCATTGACCACCGTCATCGTCGGTTATGGTCATGTACTTTGACGGCAGTTTACCGGTTTTATTCTATGTGCTTTGGGCCAAAGAGAAATGTATTTAATAGTGCAAGTATATACACTAGTTGATATATATATATACATATATGTGTGTGTGTATATAAAAACGTGTACGGCTTATATACCACGTACCCGCGCGTATATTCGTATTATATTTATGTATTTAATGATAAAATATATAAAAGTACTTTCTCTTGAGCGGCGGCCACGGTCGCGGAGAAGAAGCGTGATAGTTTTCACTATGTTGGTTCGAAGGCGCATTGCCATGGTTGTTAGAGTATATTGAGGTCATCGGCACGACCGCTGTACCACCACGGACACTGCCGCATAGCCTTAAAAAAAATTATACGCCATTTGTTTTATGTACTCTTTGTCACCGCCACTTCCTCTCACTCGATAAAAGTGTTCCACGAAGAAAGTGAAACGACTCGTCACACTTTTTCGCTAATAGTAAGTAAGTATTCGGCAACAACACGCTGCCCGATTTTCAATCGCCCGTGTCCGATCCGCGTTAATTGCTCATCGCCATTGTCCAAAGGCCAGTAGATACCCATCAATTGAGCGTCTGCTTTTAGTACGATTTATTTTATGACGCACTTGCGGTTTCCGTCAGGCTGACAGAAACTACGAGTTTTAAATATTATAGCTGAATGTGTCAGTTGCAATATGAAAATATTGACCTCTCTCAACTCAACCCTAATAGATTTTATTTAAAACTACCCACTACAATATCTTCTTTATGATTTTTCCCTTTAAGTGCTCAGGTAAAATTATCAAACTTATAATAACCTATTTACTATTAAGGTACTAGCGGTAATCGTTTGATTTTTTCATCATCAAACGTAGGCTGCCGACGATGCGTCAGTATATTTGTGTTTTTGTCAAATGAATAAACGGACTGCTGGATTTTCATCGTGTTGAAGGAAAAGCGGGCATGTTATGAGTCAAATACTCCAAAACTAAATAAGATCCTTATAAATCAAATATAAAAATAATGTTTAAACTTTCTTTATAACTTAAAAGAATTACTCCGAGTTTTTATAAGTACACAGTTTTAGTGACAATAATATTGATGACCTTGAAATTTCTTTCATTGTACCATTTTTTATAAATGAGTCATATGAAATTTTGTGAGAGAATTGCTTTTATATTAAAAAAAACTATTTTTTGTTCTACAATTCAACTTTATATTTGTTAAAATAAGATTTTGAAAAATTATGAATAGTCTCACGGAATGCTTTAAAATTTGCAGATCATTTTTAACCATTCGTAGATTTTATCTCTTATTAGTTATTCACTTAAATTTTTATCTGTGAAATACTCTAGCTGTTCTTTTGTACGACCAATCTCTATTCATCGTGTAATTCACCGCAGTCATCTTCCCTACACATACGATTGAATAAACTTGTCTAGGATACGCTTAAAAAAAACTAGTCATGAGAAAGTGACCCGATTCCCATGTAGGAGTTTATATGTACAAGTACTAATAATTCAGTGTTAGTTGTGGTCGTCGTGTTGGGGTTATTATAATGGATTGATGCACGTGAATATAATTGTTTTCATTCGGAATTCGGCAAAATGTATAATATGTATATATTTATTATGTGTAATGTTTTGGCACACGAAACCGCCGCCTCCGCCCCAACAATATTACAATGGTATCTCATTATAATTGTTTTTACACGTTTATAATACATCTATATTGGCCGTATCCGGCTTCCTCGGCGGCCAAACGAAGACAACGTGCACGCTCACTCGTGATACACACAATGCGCGTAAAGCCGTGACTGAGGCGGCGACGGTGAGAGAGAAAGATGTATTTAGTGGGTCAACGTGCTACTGACTGAGCACGGCGCAAGGTAAAAGTGGTTTTTATTTTAGTCAAACAACATCAACAACAACTGCATCGGCGGCACCATATACAATAAATAGGTATGACGACTATTTCTACGGTAGTCGATGGGTATGGCGTGGTTTAACAAAAATAATATATTCAGTCATATATATTATTATGTNTTTTATTTTAGTCAAACAACATCAACAACAACTGCATCGGCGGCACCATATACAATAAATAGGTATGACGACTATTTCTACGGAGTCGATGGGTATGGCGTGGTTTGACAAAAATAATATATTCAGTCATATATATTATTATGTACTTTCATCTTGTGTAAACTCGTCTTGCTTATGTAGGTATTTTATTAAAGCATTAAACTTTGATGAGACAAAACACCTAGTTACCAGCATATGGGCCAACGACCACACTGTACCCGATTGGTGTAACAACACGTGTTTACCATTAGATTACAAATATTAGNGATGAGACAAAACACCTAGTTACCAGCATATGGGCCAACGACCACACTGTACCCGATTGGTGTAACAACACGTGTTTACCATTGGATTACAAATGAACCCAAAGGTTAGACAGTCTGTATTGTTGAAGCCCCTGACTTTTTCGAATACCTTTAGACTTACCTGTTGCTGATAAAAAAACATTTTGCTAGTTTCTTTGAAGACAAAGCACGCAAATTGTTTGTATGTACCGCTGTTGTCGCCTTACACGGATTCGGCACGGACCCACTGACCGAATCGGGGTCACCGTATGTGTACAATGATAATTATTATATTATTAATCTGATAGGCACTTGGGTAGATGATGGTTATTGGCTTACCATAAAAATGTTTGTCATCGTTTTGCGGTTAACTGTTTTTCACGTTTGATCGGTCAGATGTTGACAGTTATTACTATAATGACATGTTTTTTGTTGAGGGGTAAAAAATATAATAGACGAGTATCAAAATGACAAAATACAATGTAACGTATATAAATCAACAGCTTATAATTTATTTTGTTTTTTTTTTTTTCAAAAATAATTCGTCGTTGATGACAGTTTACAATATTATTAGTTTTTGGATTGTTTGCAACATAAAATAATACATTATTATTCATAATTTAACATTTATACAAATTAGTGTAACTGATATTTCTGTACTCAATAAACACACTTATAGCTCAAGAATCGGAAGACTGGTCACCATTCCATAAAAAAAGTTAATAATGCAAAACATAATCCATACTTATTAAACGTTTTTAGATACAAGTTACTATGAGTACGATTGTTTAACAATTATGATTACAGATTATTATTAAAATATTATTGTTGATGATTTTAAGTTAAGAAAAAAATAATAAATACTTAGTCTATTAATTCCTTACACATTTATTCATACAATGACATAAAAAAAAAAATATATATATATATCCTTAAATCTGGTGACCCGTCTCAAGTAAGTAACTACCGTCCAATAACAACACTCTCTCATATATCCAAATTATTTGAAACTATTGTTATAAATGCTATCCGTCCTATACTTAATAATATTTTATGTGATGAGCAACATGGATTTCGGCCTGGACGCTCCACAATAACTTGTAACCTCATACTCTCATCCTATATATATGATTCCTTCAGTCAACAAAGTCAAGTTGACGTAATTTACATGGATTTCTCAAAAGCATTTGATAAAGTAGACCACAGAATTTTAATACACACTCTAGATACTCTAGGTATTGGAGATCCTCTTCTTGCCTGGTTTCATTCTTATTTATCTAATCGTCAATACTATGTTTCTACTTCCAATTCAACCTCAAATACCTTCTATAGATCTTCTGGCGTACCCCAAGGTGCAATTCTTTCTCCTCTTCTATTTGCCCTTTTCATAAATTCCGCTCCATCAATCCTCCATAATGCAAAATTACTAATATTTGCTGACGACATGAAACTTTTCCTCCGTATCAAATCCATATCCGACTGCCATCTACTACAAAAAGATCTACTGCGATTTACAAACTGGAGTGAATCCCTCGGCCTTTCTCTTAATATTAAAAAATGTTCTATCATGTCATTCTTCCGACGTAGTCCTCATATCGTTTTTCCTTATTCCGTAAATAACATTCCTTTAATTCGTTCCTCTGAGTCAATACGTGATCTTGGATTTATTTTCACACATAATCTTTCTCCTAACAAACATATTCAGCATATTACTTGTAAAGCTCTTAAACTCCTAGGTTTCATCTCCCGTATCACTCAAGAATTTAAACTATCCAACTCTCTCAAAACTCTTTACACCTCCCTTATTCGCCCTATCCTTGAATACGGCTCTGTTCTTTGGGATCCCCAAACAGCTGTCGCAAGGGCTTCAATTGAAAGGGTTCAAAGAAAANAAAAAAAAAAAAAAAATACAATACAATAAATTAACGACTATTGAGATATTAAATACTATACGGGTAATGTAAGGGGAAAATTTTTAAACTTATAAACAATTATAAACTAATTAAATTTAATACACAAATAAATAAGTATAAAACGAAATCGAGTCAAAACTATACAAGGGTTTGTTTTATGAAAAAAATAAAAATACTGGGGAAACAATAGGTTAAGGATACACCTTCTTGCAGAGGGTTTCAAATAAGTATATAATTTTATATACAAAAGCGTACACATATAATCTTAACGGTTGTGATTTATAGAATAAATTGCAAGTGGACATTACCTAAAACTACGTAATATTAAAATTGATATTACATTAATAATGACGTCCCCAGGTCAAAATAAATTAATGGAAACTATGCGTTTGTTAAGATAATATATTTTTCAAAAAAGATCAGAGTTGTTTTAAATGACAATAATAAATTAGTAAATGACCGAGGACGTCGAATAAATAACAAAAAACAAATCATTAAAATTAAATACACTAATCGTAAACAACTTAATTTTCTCCCTAATCGAAGTGGTCATTGACACATACATAAAATAACATATAAACAGTATTATAATAATTAATAATATTAAGTATTCACAAAACAAAGTTTCTTTTTGTACTTCTTTATAATAACTAATCGTTGATTCCCCCCCACCCGTCGAGTGCACGTGGGATTTACAAAATTGGTATGAGATTCAACGAGTCTAAACAACCTTGTCACAACACAAAATTCTATATATCCTCATAGCATGTATACGATCGTTAATTTTTTTTTTTTATTATCTTTGGTCAAATTTTTTTAACGAAAACGCGTTAAATACAATAAATTATAGGAGTGAGAGAGACAGAATACTTAAGGGACGATGAAAACGTTGATATGAAGTTTAAAAATCGTTTCGGTACCTTATGATTCAGTCCCTGCCGCTACGTTTGTGTATTTGCGCGTGTTTAATGAGATGGGCCTTTTGTCTAAACGCTTTTTGACATACTTCGCACCTGAACGGTTTTTCGCCCGTGTGTGTCCTTAAATGCACTTTGATGTTGCTCTTGTTCAGGAATCCACGATTGCAAATGTGACAGTTGTGTACGGTCCGTTCGCGGGCCACGTTGCCGTCGGAAACGTACACCATGGTGTTCCTGGCAGTTTGACCGCCGCCGCCGCCACTGTTTCCTTTGGCCTTGCTCCTGTTCCTGGACTTTTTCACGGCCATGTGTCCCTGCCCGGGTGTAGTAGTATGCGCGAATTCCGGCGACGGCCTCGAACTGTGAACAGAAGGTATGTATCCCAGATCGGTAGTACTGACTACGTGACTTGTCGGGCTGTGCGCCAAGTACGACGGGGTGGACGACGAAGGCGATGACGCGCACTCCATGTGATAGTCCTGTGGCGCTTTGGCAGGCCCGTTTTGTAGTCGACTTTGCAAAAGCGGCATAAAAGCAGCTGCACCAGGTCGTGGAACCGGCGGCATGTTAGACGTGACCATGTCACGTGGTTGAGGTTGCTGTTGTTGTGGCGATTGTTGTTGGTACAAGGGTTTCTGCATCGGTGGCTGGTGGTAACCGTCGTTAGGTATGCCAGTAAACTGTGAACTAGCTACTAATTCTTGAATTGTGACGTCGGCCAATATGCCGGTCTTGTTGTCTTGTGGTGATCCATCAGGATGGTCGTAAGAAGGCCACTCGTCACTAACGCCGAGCCATTCATCTGGTCCATCCACTGGATGATCGCTAGCCGACACCGTAGTGTCGGGGCCGAACGATGGACTCCTCATTAACATTTCGAATTCGTCAAACTGATTGTCTACGAATGTATCGACTTCCTCTTTGAATTTCGGCAAGCTCGAATTGGTCGATGACGTGACCAGATATTCATTTGGATGATAGTACGCCATATTATTGTTTGCCGTGGCAGTGTTGTTGTTGTTTTCCACTACTCGATTGTTAGCTGCTATCGATTGATAATGGTGACCGGGTATACCGTTTATGTTGACCCGCTCGGTGATTGTATGGAACGGCATCAGTGGTTTTAGGTCGGCAAAATTCGCTGTCGACTTGTTGTTCGGCTCGAGATTACTCGGCTGTTGGTTGTGTTGCTGTTGTTGTTGGGACGGCACTTGTACCGGTGAACCGTCGGTAGCATACTGATCACGTCCCAGTAAATCGTCCAACTCCGCGGGATTCAGCATAAATTTCGCCCCATCCGCATCGAGGAAATGTTCGTTAAACTGCAACATTTCCACCATTGATTCTGTAGTTGCTTCGTTACCGTTGGACAAACGCATTACGGGGTTGCCACTCGTCTCCGCCCTCAGCCACTCTGGATCCAGTTGGGGAGGTTCTGCTAACTGGCTGCCCCGATAGATACTATCATCCAGCACTCCTTGAAAAAAAAAAAGGTTGTACATAAGTTACAAATTTCAAAACGATTATCATTAGTTATAACTAAAGTACAAGGAAACATTATGACAGATTTACGTCTAATTATTTTATTGTATCATCAATTTATGAAATTAGAAATTGAAAATTTCGTTCTTAAAAATCGTAATTTGTTTAATAAATTCAAATAGTTTGGTATTGTTTATAAAATGTTCATAGATGTACTATATTTTGGTAAAAAAAATATTTTTTATCAAAACAATATTTTCGTTTTATAAAAGAAAAGAAACGAAAATATCATTAATTTTATTTTTAATGGATGTTTCAAATTCGCTAAAGCTATCAGATTATTGAAAATACTTATTTAACAGTGAAATCTGTTGAATTCGTTGATTATAATTCTTAACAGAGAAACCTTTTACAATCTTTGTGTAAATTATCAATTATTTGAAAATTTCTGTTAATTAGGTAAACTAATTCAATTTATACATACCGTGTACCCACTCACCCACCCTAATAAACGAGTAATATTGAAATAATCTGTTGAAGTTAACTTGGAATGATTTTTTTTTTTTGTAAACGACGCTATCTTTTTCTAATTCGTCATATCAATTTAATTGATTATGGACGGCATTCCCTACTGAGTAAGCTTAACCGTTTACTAACGTCATGCGTATTATATAATGGTGATATCGTCACTATGGCCACTGCGAAGGTAATACATTTATTTAAACTTAAGCAGTTGTATTTACTATCGCTGTATAAAAGGTCATTTTATTATAATTGATACTAATAAAAGCCTAGAAAACATATTCGTTTATCGACTGTACTAGAGCAATTTAAAAATGTTTTATTTTTTACTGCCTTACTCCGTTAGGTTCAAAGCTGTTAATACACGATGCACACAGTTTAATCAGTTAACGCAGCGTCCTATGGGTTTAACGAAGCAATTCCAATATTTTTTTACCTGATAAACAGTGTCGTCCGAAGCACAGATCAAAGTGTAACCATTTCAAGTTGTGGTCGCGAGGTATGAATGCAATCGCACTGTGATTCGAATTAAGGAGGGACATTTTCGGTTTACCGCGACGGATACTGTACCACGGAAACGCATAATCGCATAACGTGTAACGTCAAGTCCGGTGTCGCGTGCGTTACTATCTGACATGACTTCGAGAGTAGTGCTGTGACGATCGACTCGCGACCGGCCGGCATACCTAGAAATTTTTTACCTTTTTTTTTTTTTTTAACAACCCTTCATTTAGACTATCAGCATAGGTAGCCCTTGGACCAGCCGGTTTATTTCTAAGGCACACGATTCCACGTAATTCCTAGACAAGGCTCGCGGACGTTGCGACGCGCCAAAGATCCAGTTTTGATTTACCTAAACAGAACGAATCCCGTCGGCCTAGGGTTGTTTTTTGTGTTTATTTCTAGTTAAAATCTTTTACCGTGACACTAATATGAGAAAAAAAAACATTATCCTACCTAGAAGTAAACATCTCAACAACAACACAAAAATGTGCTGTACTATTTGCCATTTCCTCACATCACCACCTCCAGTTCGAATGAAATTATCGTTAAATAATATTATAAAAGCGCTAAGGCCGTGTAAAATAACGTTATTATCGTTTAAATAAGCTTATAGATTTTTGTTTTTCACATGCCAATATCTAATAATGCATTTGAACTATTTCGTATAAAAAAACATACATAAATTTTGTGTTTACTTAAATCGCTCAAAATAATCACCCTGAGGTGTATCCATATGCTTTGATACAACAATTAATTATTTATACAGAAGTCGTTATTAAGTCATTATTCGGTTGGGCTACTGTTGGCCATAGTAACGTACTAGTGTCATGTTCATGTATCTACGAAAGATATTTGTCTAAATACCTATGCTAGTCCATTAACCTAAATATAATGCTAGAGGAACGTCCACTAGTCATAACGAATTAAAGCAATTAAAGTCATGCAAAAAATAAATATAATCGAAAAGTGGGTCTATTCGCTACCGTGAAAATCATTTGTACTAAAAAAAAAAACAAACAACTTCGCGGATTATCTTCTGTAACCGTCATAATTATTGCCCATATTTTAATAGGAAAAATATTAATAATACTCTGTTAAAGAGTGAAGGGGCAAGTTATATATACGGTATAGCTTTTTTATTCCGTTCCTCACTTAATAAAAAAAATAGTACAACACAATGCATACATAATGAATACATTTAATTTGCTAATCCGCCCAGTTAGTATCCTACTATTTTGTTCATGTGTTGTACGGTCTCTTTGTTAGTCAAACAATATTTTTTCACACTCGATCATACCACGAGATTGTGTTTCTAAATTAACGGTATCACATAAAAAATTGTTGATATTATGAAGTAAATAAAAAAAAATTTTTATTTATAATCATATGGTACACTTGCACTTCAATTTATTTTATGAACAAATTATAGCTACCCACCTGTTCACAGATTTTTCGACAAAACCAATAGGTTATGTTTAATTATTTGTTTTTCATTAAACATTTATCAAATTACAACGGTCAGCGGCGTATTTTTGGAGCCCAAGAAGGTTAATGTACCGGCCGTCGAATAATATGTGCTTTAAAACTTAGAATTTTTCGGTCTCGAAGAATGTAATTATATATTTTTTACTCAATTAGTTATTGTAAAAGAATTTACTGACACCTAATCGAAATTATTTCGGATCTAAGGGGAAAACAAAGTGTTAAGCCCACTAATGTGAACTTTAAGTTGTTCACTTTGATCGGTAAGTTACAACCTCTCACATTCCAAAAGAATAATTCCGCTCGCGTAACTGTTTATTTAACATTATGAAATAAAATTCAATTTATATTGAATATTTAAAATATTGTTCACTTACTTCCAAGAGTTTGTAGGAATGTGCGGTTTGTCAGGACCTACACAGTGTTTGTTGTCTTCGGACGATTTCATCTCGACCGATGAGGCAGCGGCATATACGCAACTCGCATAATATCTCGGCTCTTGATAGTCGTACGCAGTGCAAGTCTGATAGTTGGCTGGTGGTAATCTTCTACGGGTGTTTGCGCACCGTTTAATAAACAGATGCGTCTGGTTGGTGTTTGAACGACGTCTACGAATGACAAGGTATACCCTGAAGAGCACCAAACAGCAATAACCAAAAAAAAAAAACAAAAATACACCAATATAGACGTGATAATCATAATATAATGACAGGTCACCCTAAGATAGGTATCTATAGCTGAAAGCAAGCGTTAGTAGATTTAATATTATTTGCATACCTAAATACTTGCAACGGTTAAACGTACTACATTTTAATTTTACATTGCCATTACAGTACAATTATTTACATTAGACGGGTAATGAAAATTCTAGTGTATTTTAATGATGGTACACGATGTGTTTCTTATGAATACTTGACATAATATTGTACACGATTTGAGGTCATTAGCGATTATTGGGTTTTGATAATTTATGCGGTCATTGTTAAGTGAGCTAACGGTTTAGTAATTATTTATTGATTGTTTACTTGTTTGGAACTATTTAAAATCATGCGCTATGGAAGATTTTGTTGAATTAAAAATACATTTAGTTTGGTTCTGTTTGATTGTCCAAGTCGTAAAAAAAATTGGAGTTTTGAGAGGGAAACCAGAACGGTATCAAATGAACATAGACGTGAATGATAAAAATAGCGATGAACGAAAAAAGGATTCGATACTGCGGGAAAAGTAGATTAGGGTGAGACAATGTGTGTGGGACGCGACGAAGGCGAAAACGTGGTGTTTTTGACAAATAACGCGAACAAGTCGACATGGACGAGGACGACCTGTAATGAAATCGTGTGTTTGTGCGCACAATGGACAAATAGCGGATTTGTACTGCTGACATAGAGAAACGGGTACGTACTACTGAGAGATGTTTCAGAGAGAGCGGAAACGGTGGGATATGTTTTTCAGGGCCTGACGCACGATCGGTCATCGATTACCGTTGTCGTCGGGTAGGTACACATGATCTTAGGACGTACGCTTTTATGACGCATCTTAATCGGCTTACAGAATACGGTTCACGACCAAAACAACAATAAAATAATATGAAAAGGTTTTGTCCCGGATCGGGTGCGAACACAAACCGCCCACCGAGTATGATCCTTGTCGTCGCGCGGGACATGTGCGCGCAACAAACGTTACCATAATGTAGTGTAGTGGCAAAAATTTAGTCGGATACGTCGTCAATGTAGCAACGGCAATAAATATCAAATTGACCAGAACAATGTCTATAGGCATTGTGTGGTGGTGCGCTGCGGCGACGGTGTTTGCGATTTTCGACCGTGTTGTTTTTACACGAATCGTACTACCCCTCCTTCTATCCGTCATAATGAAAAACTGTGGACGCGTACCCTTGAATGGAATAACGCGCGCAACTGTTGTTTATATAGTTCCCGATAAAAAGCGTGTTTCGCAAAAAAATAATAAACATATAACATTTGCTCAATATGAAATGTATATCTCGCGGAGTACTCGGGTTGGAATAAAATTTGCGCGTTTACCTACTTCGACGCTGTGCAATGTGTTCGCGGTTAAATGCATCGGTGCGCGTCGCCTCGGTGCGGGTGTCCCAGAACCGCCGGAGATAAATCCCCCATGTAAGCCCGGTAGCTGATGTACTTGAGGTCGACCCTATTATTTTTGCCATCATCGACGACATCCTGACGCATAAGAGCCTAGTTTTCGACAATTCGTTCTTGTAAACATTTTTAACGGTACACGAGGACAGTAACTATAATTTTATTGTGTACACAATGCGGACCCTGTCCTACCGGGCTTACTGTTCCCGCTGGGAAAACACGTATACCCATAACGGGACAATTTGTCTACTATAATAATATTATTATGTTGTAACGCGTCGCCCGGGCCAACAACCCTGTATAACGCTCCGCGGGATATGGACACGACCAGCTCCCTTATGGCCGAAGACACGAACCTCGTGTCAAGTTCTCCCAATTGAAACCGCTTTATGCTTGCGAGATCACCAATACACGCCATTCGGCAGTTTCAGGCTATTGATAACTGGCGTCGTCATACCCAATGATTGTACAGTGCATTCAAGGCGACCACGAAGGGTCTCGGACATTGCCACCGTTACACGGTTCACGCGCCATTAATCAGGACGAACGATTAACCCAATGAAGGTTTTCCATCCGAACGGCTGCATAAATAATAATCGAGTGTCGTAACTAAACAATTATTATCAGACGTTAAGACATAAGGTAACGACGGCATCGATGAGGTGGCCAACAGACATAATCGCCTTGGAAAAACACGCCGGCAAATCGCAAAACACATTGTTTTCTACATTTAATCAACACTTTTACTGTCTCCATTTAACTTTTCGTCGCTTTTCTTTCATACATGTCTCTATTATTCATTGTTCTGTTCAACGTCACCGCACACCTGAAAAGGGTGTTGTTTATTCTTATTATTAATCGCTAATAAGTAGTGCGTACTACAACACAATCTGTCCACGCTTAATTAGTTCGATTTGGCCGACAACGAATTTCCCGTTGCTGCATGACGACGTAAGACGACGTTGGTGAGTCAGGTTTAAATTACATAACCCTTTGGACATTTCCGAAAACAACACCTGGCATTGTCCGCTGCTGCTGCTGCTGCTGCTGCCACTGTGAATAATAATCTCACGGCCAGAATGTGAGTGAACTGATTTTCAATTCTCCTTGTTTTCTTCATTATTATTATTATTATTATGTAGTCTATTATATTATTGTTGTTGTTCAATATGATATTTGTCGAAATATTCAAACGTAGTTACACCGTCGTCGTTGTACGCGCTGCTCAAATAATGAGTAATACTACTTTTGGCGATAAGTTCCGGGTCCGGTGCGTTTTTGATCAAAAACTATAAATTCAGGTCAGAGAGTAATTTTTCCTGAGTTGTTTGTTGGATGGACAGTGGGGGAATTGAACATGTAAACGATGAGGGTCGCCAAATGGCAATTAATTAACGAATTGAACAAAAAAATTAATGAACAAGAAAAAACGTTCGAAGACAATAGAACGGTACGCCGCCATAGATTTGTCGCTTAGTCGCCGCTGTCACTAGTCACAATCAGTGAGTACGTAGGGAGGGAAATATTGAAGGAAACAAATCATTGACCCACTTTTGGCCTGCTGGATACAGTTCAACCGTGAAACAGGCTAGATATGAGTTGCAGCCACAAAAGTAATAAAAAATTGTGTACAAGTAAAAAATAATTTTATAAATGGAAACTAACATGTACATATAACGATAAAAATATTGTTATGGTTCATTTTGGGGAACAATTTTTGATAAACGCCAACCGAAAGTGTAACCGCCGGAGTATAATTAATAATTTGATTATTAAATATAATAAATAAAAATATGTTTTTGTAGTTTTCAAAAATTTCATTATAACACAGTTATTATTATTATTTTTAATTATTTAGAAACTTACGCTATATACAAACTATAAAAGAAGTAATCTACTATGAAACTCAATAAGTTCAATTAAAAATAACGATATCAATCTATAAATTTCATGTTATTACTAAAAACTAATAGGTTCATGATTTTAGATGATTTGAGTATGTTCCATAAAAAAATTAAACGAAAATCTGTGATCACAAAATCTTTTTGAATGCCAAAAAACCCTTCAATTTCTGTTATGTCAGTTATTGTTAAATTGTAATAATGCTTCTTCAGTATGTCAAAAAACAATAACAATCAGGTTTTCAATAAATTAATGTCACTTTCAGTAACAATAAAATTATTTTTTTAACCCGGTCGTGAATTATTAAACGTTATTTAAATTGATTGGTGTAACATTTGTCTTAATGGTTTACGTGCCAAGTACTCCCTTATGACAAAAAAAAAAAAAAAAATGCACCTAACTAAATTAAATGTTTACCGATAGAAATTTTGAAATAAAAATATTCAACTTTTATATTAGTTTGCAATGAACAGTTCGCGCTTTATTTAGCCTTTGAGGGCATTCAAATTATATGTAGATAAATCTCATTAAAAATTCTAATGAGACTTACAAAACGTTTTTCGCTGTTGAAAAATTCATCAAGTGCTCGCGGTTTAATATTTGAAACGAATTATACTTAAATCAAACTACCGTTTGTGTATTTGGTTGCGACAAGAGAGCTTTTGTGTGAAATTTGCATGTGAAACACGAGTATATAAACTATTTAAGAACGTGATGTCGGTCGATGGCCTCGTATCGCCATGTGGAGAAATTCCACAATAAAAGGTGACGTCATTGGCGCGTAGAGGAGAAACGACAGAAAAAAAAAACCACCACATCAATGGCTATCTGTTGGCGATGTAGAAGGCGTGTTTGTGGTGGGTAATTAATATACCAAATAAAGGGGAAGAGAAGGAGGAATACTCTTACTGATTCCGCTCATTACAGACTATTTACAGGTACACCGCACACACTGGTGAGGCGAACAACATCCGGCTAGACTTACGACACGGTAACCCGGTTTGCAAGCCGTCCGACTATCCGGACTGTCACTTTTTACCGTCGGCCGGCATGTAGTTCCCCGTGACGCCGTAATCCCCTCCCCTCATCCGAATCCCATACACGTACGATATGCGTTAAGAATATTATACAAATATTACATGTGTTAACCACCGTCCATAGTTTAACTCCAAAAGAATCGAGATCACTGAATATTGTCGTTTTAAATACTTTTTGTCTGCACGAGTCCGCGTCGAAGTCTCCGTTGCCGACCGAGTTGAATAAATTACTTTAGTCATTGATTTTTTTTTTTAAACAGATTCCTCACGGACACGGGATGAATGTTTTAATCATTTAACGATTTATAATCGACCTATTCTCATGGCTACTATATTAGCGATAAGATTTACTTTTATACTATAGAGAACAACTTTATGTTCCATTTTGAGAATTTTAACTATTAAATAATAAAATTTATATTTATTTTACGTGTTTAGGTTTTCATTTATTTTTAAGAAAATATTCATAACAAATTAAAGAAGAGTCAAATTATGAAAATAACAATTGGACAATAGCTTTTTTTTTTTAGTAATAACAAATACAATTATTTCCTCTGCAGAGCAAAACTTTTGCTTGTTGATAAACTACTCGTACATGTATTTATACGTTTTGTATTAACTTATTAATTATTTTAATGCGTTCGATATTAACCTCGTAATAAAATTAATCCGAATTCATTTGAAATTATGTAGTACAGCATATAGTAGAAAAGCGGGACACGCTAATTTTGCATTTATGTCTACCAACTAAACAAGTATTGTAAATAACAGAATAGTACAAAGTGACCGCATTTAGTATTTTTGCCGTGATCTATACTGTCCTACACCCAAACATGCCTTTTTACGTACAAATATTTAACGAGAGTATATGAAGTTCATTATACAAACGTAGGTTTTGTTAAAACACAACTAGTATCGCAACTAATAATTTCATTTAAACAAACATTAGTATGTAAGTAATCAGGATTTAGAGAGAGATAGAGACCTCGAAATATCAAATACACTTCGGAACCTCACACAAATGCAATTTGTGATATCTCACGATTCCTATTAAGATGATGTCGGGGAAAACGTATAGTGAAGACCCAACCAAACCCACCTTTCATTTATGGGCTGGGTATACTCGATGTCTTTAGTCCAACCTTGCAACTGATCCGCATATTGTTTACAAATTATTTCAAACTAAATGACTTAAATACTAACAAAATACTATGATTAATAACTGGACAGTTTTTGCATATTTTAGAAAACATTAACTGTCATCGAGATCAATATTATTAAGACATTAGATTTATGAAAAAACACGCCAAAAGCCTTGGGTTCCATTACTCATAAAAGCCGTTTAATTATGTTTAGTACGTAGTTGTTACTTGTCCAGAAAAACAAAAGTGGATTCATGTTAATTTACTGAAATTCTTTTGTGACATTTCGGTCGAGAACACAGTCAACTAAATCATTGTCGCAGCTAGTTACTTGTAAACATATTAATATGTTTGAGCAAAAACAAGTTAGTCGTTAATGGCTAGAAAAATACTTAACTAATAATACGCGCCGGTGTTAGGTTAAGTCTATACAATGGACGTTGTCCTAATGCAGTACTTAATGTCGGTAATTTTACAAAATAACGCTTTGGGGTAAAATAAAAAATAGTACATCATTGCACTAAAATAGTAGCGTAGGGTTTATAGAAAGAATATTACAAAACATTGGTGATATCTCTCAGTCGCGGCTCAAAATACTAAAAGCGCACCAGGTCCAATGGCGTTCGGCTAACCGAAAACCCGATTTTTGTTTTTGGATAACATTAAGCACATAAATTAGTCGTATAACCGCTACGAGTGACCTGCGCGGCTAATGAACGGTACATTTGAGACACACTATACAGGCGCACTGCTCATACGAACGAGTATGTTTTTTTGGATACATTCTTCTCTCTGTACCGTTTGAAAATAGTCAAGCTGGAGTCAATGATTATACACCGTTCTTTTTAATAATAATCATAATAATTATAAAGTAATAACACAATATTTATCAAACCCTTGAAGGTGCGCCGTAACGTACAAGTCATAGTATATCACAAAATTTAATTAATTCAGAATCGCACACAATCTTGTTGAGTGAGGTCATGAACCTACTGATTTAGGCCTTTAAATAAGTCTGATTCAGTATCATTAATTCCTACATTGACTCCGTCAGTGCGTTCAAATTTTATCTGTTAGAAATTTATTGGCTTATGTAAATTGTTTCTAAAAAGTATATTAAAATCATTGTTCGTAGTATTTGTCAAACACAATTATAATAGTAACAACGTAGTTATTAATGTTGGTCGTTTACTATTAGAAATAAAAATGTATGAAGTGAACGATTTTCAGTCACTGTGAAACTTTTCATCATGTAATGTGTGATGCCAATATTAATCAGTCTTGATTATGCATAGTAAATTATCAATTTGATCTATAAAAGTTTATCTTCGACTTACGTCTACGATTATCATGTACAAGAAGTGTCACATAAATGGGTTTGTGTGTTGTTACTTGCACTCTAAGAAAGAGTTAATGATAAAACATAAATACCGCAGTAATGAAGACTTTAAAAGAAAAGAGCGCAATTTTGAAAGTCGTTAAACAAAATAAAAATATCTGGGGCTCTTTATGAATAATTAGCTTTGTAATAATACTTTGTTAATTGTTTTTTTTGTCTCTGGGTACTCGACATCAATGGCGACAACGGCGGCACATGAGATGAATGAAGCGAAACACCTCGTCGGTCATATAAACTGTATACACATCATACACACCGAGTTATAACGGCCTATGTCTTATAGGCTGTCCGCGGCGTGCTTGTGTTTTTTAGTACAGCCGTACACTCATAGAACGTGCCACATTCTCGGCACAAACATAACGGTATGCACACCTACTCTTCAATTGGTTCTCAAACGGATTAACGACCAATATCGCGTTAATGTTTTTTGTTTTACTTTGACCTTCCTCAAAGATACCGCCGGTATTTCGCCAATTTGTTTTACAATTGTAATTGTTTCCCCTCGACGTTCGTTCGCCCCGTTCCGGACCGCTTCGAGGTTGCTACACTAGGAGGAAGGTCATCACAACTAAAATTAAGTACGTCATAGCGAGTGATTAGTTTTGGAAACGTCTAAAATGCAAATCAACAGTCTTTTCTCTGCGTTGTTATACTTTAAAATGACAATTAACGAAATGCGAGAAGAGTGAAGAACACTGCGGAGGGCATTATAGAAACCACTGATCGGCGGTTGTAGCTGTGGCGGTCAGCCGTTCGACCCACTGGCCCACAACGCGCCCAAGACGTTTTCGTGTGCACACAGTCTGTAATAATATTATTCTTACGATAAACCAATTTAGTCAGAACCTATTGCCAAAATTGTGTTTAAATCAAAAGCATAACACTTGTCCTAATGAAATTTTAATAGTTTTTAGATTTGAAACGGGAGCTTCATTAGTTCAACACCACAAGACAACATTATTGACATCCTGGTGCTTAAACTCAAACGTCAATAATAAAATAATGATTATGTTAGCAATTACGATCTGTCGGTTAATGTGTTCGAGAGTGATCCATAGCAGGAAAGTCCAAAATAAACAAACAACAACACTAACGAAGTAAAAACCGTGTTATTGCATTGATAACCAGTCCGGATATTGTTTCGTCTTGTGAAGCGAATAAAAAATGTGTAAATCATTTTGTCAATGTAAGCTCGTTTAATTAATAATTTGATGAATCCCGGAACCAAAATCGAAACCGGATAGAAGAGACTCGGAGATTTTTATCGCAACCGCTGCTGCTGACGATTAATTAGTATCACCTGCTGGTCTGAGGGGAGTCGGCTTGGTTCGGGAATTTTAATACAACGAGTGCTTTGTATTTAGTCTACAAATCGTAGTTTACGGGCTATGTGCACTAAATTGTTAAGATTTTTTAATTATTATTACAACGAGTAAGACTCAGACTAGAAAACGTCTTCCTCTCAGAGACTTGGGCGAGTACGCAAACGAAGCTAATGACGAAGAACTGTGTATATTTTTGCAAGCACAATCGATATGAGTGTTTTCACGAACGATTCACCTAGTTCTTCCTATACACAAATAAACTAGTAATGGACCTGTTAAATCAATCCGACATTCGTACCGTAAAATAATACATAACAATACATACTTAACATAAACCACGGCGCAAGTAAAATAATAATTGTAAAGTATACACGATCGCGACAACGGCATAGATACGCGGTGCGAGCATGAATTATTATTGACGGGCAAAATTTGCATCTTTTGTCTTGCTGCCGTGTTTATGAACTCTGCATAAACAGTTTGAACGCATGCAGCACGTAACATTTTCAGCAGAATCTTAAATCGTTTTTGGGGTTCAAACTTCTTAAATCTTTCGCGGTCGTTAAAGTCTCTGGTACGACAGTCCAAACTCAATTTTGAATAAATAGTGTTTATCNGAACTCTGCATAAACAGTTTGAACGCATGCAGCACGTAACATTTTCAGCAGAATCTTAAATCGTTTTTGGGGTTCAAACTTCTCAAATCTTTCGCGGTCGTTAAAGTCTCTGGTACGACAGTCCAAAGTCAATTTTGAATAAATAGTGTTTATAGAGGTGGAAAAAAATACGTGTTGGAAAAATCTGCTTACGAATTAGGAATTAGGTTTATAATACTAATGGTTATATTAGTGTAAGATAAAACAAGCACAGACATTAACACAGCAATATCAATGTGTTTTCAAAGGAATACATTAAATACCAATTTTATATTTATATTATTTAAAAGAAAAGCTTAGATCACTTCGCGATTAGTTTTTGCATTAATATTTTATTAACATTATTTACATTCGTGCTTTTTAAACGGGTCTAGGCAGTATTATAAATTATACGTTTATAAAAATTATATTAACTAAGTGTCGTTTAGCAATATTATCGTGGTAACATTCATGCATCGAAAAAATTATTATAACGAATTGGGGCGTCAGAAAAATGTATTTATTGAAAAATAAATAATGTATTTGTTTGAAACGTATTTTTGTCGTTTGGAATTTCATGTGAAATCTCGAGTAGATAAAGATCCGGAAGAAAGTTCTTTAAATCACCGACGGTATTATTATAGTAAAATACAAAATGGTAATCCCAAGTTTGTTGATGAATTTACCTGTTGCTCATTAAAGGGCGAGTCCTCGTCGACGGTCATTCCCCCCGAGAAAAAATTACAAAAAAAAAAAAAAATTGACATTTTTCACAAGTTCAATTTTGAATACCGATTATTGATATAAAATTATTAATAATAAAACATAAACAACATTCGACGATGTTCACCTGAAAGTATAGAAAGAAATCGGCCGCGGATCTTTCGCTTAGGGATAGCGTCTGTTGTCAATATGGAAAACACACTGTGTAAAAGGGTACAATGATCGACTAAAGGAGCTTATAAAATGTTTTTTTCTTTGAAAATTGAATTCAAGCAATTTAGTTTCAAAAAAAGGAAATTATTATAATGAACAGACTGCTCTGCAATCCGTCTATACTAAAACGCGTTCCGAACGTCTGTATAACAATGGAGGAGAATTGCTCAGGAGCGTATGGGTTTATAAGTAATTGTGTTTAAATAAATGGTGTGTTTTGTTCCGAGACGTTCGGAACACGTTTATGTGTGTCTAGATCTATACGTTTCACAGTGTGTGAGTTGGTTTTTTAATTTTTCTAAAAACTATTCAAAGGTAATCGAGCTTACTGTTAAAGCGATGGAAAATAATCGCGGAAGTCTTTCATTGCGTTCGCAGACCCCGTGGTTATAATATTTTTTTATGCTGCAGAGTGAAGAAGAAATTCGCACAATCGACGCCGCACTGTTCTTATGATTTATCCCGTCGGACCGCACTCGGAATACCGTCGCACTCGCGATCGACAATATTTCAAAACAAATTTTAATTCGAGAAAATTGTCCTCGATGAAAGATTTAATTAAACCAAAAATTTACTTCAAGACTACGATATACACTTACACGAGGGGTAACAAGTTCAAAGAGACTTTGACGGTAACGATGACGGCGACTGCGACTTGTCGGCATAAATCCACGTCCGGCGCGTCCACGAGATACTATGCGCACCGAGTGTATTGACGCGTATGCGCGTGTCGCCAGTGGACCGGGCGGCGGGGCCTAAAATTCGTCGGGGGAAGGCGGTTGTTATGGGGGGGAACGGCGGTAGTGGAGTTTATTTTCTTCTTTCTTCTGTCACTGATCGTTGCCCTACCATTCCCCCGTTACCTACAGTCTCCGTGTACAGGTGTATATACATTATTACCTGCTGAACCGGTCCCCCTTTTTCGGCATGTATAGGAGTCAGTGCGCGCGCACAATACGCCGGCGTTATACTAACCCAGTTACGAAAATAATAATAATAATAATAATAATAATAATACACGCGGCGAGTAACCGTGTCGCCGTCTCTACTCGCGCACTTGATAAGACTTCAGGTGGCGGATCACAGACTTCTTCCGCCGCCGCCGCCGCCCCTGCAGCTCATCTATTGAAGAGCAACGCTGTCCTTCAACTTGGTACTCCTTAATTACTCATTCATTGTCGTAGGTATACATTATTGTTTGTTGACCGAGAAACAGTCAAATACAAAAGTCGACGTTATACTATTGCCAAATAGAAATTCAAAGAAAAAATTCGTAAATAACGCATATGAATATTCTATTTCTTAAACGAACCTTAATTTGTTATTGATTTATTTGTTCTATGGTGATAATAAACTTTAAATAATTATGTGATTTTCTAGTTAACATATTGACATAAAAGTATGATTTTAATTTTAAAATTAAGACTCATTCTTGATCTTGATGATTTATCATAAATGTTCTTGTCACGACGAATTACTTCAGAAAAATGTAATGTAGGTTATTTAATGTGTAAAACATCCAATCAACTACGGGTTTTGTAGATTTAAACCAGTAATTTAAGTTTGATTTTAATAAAATCAACGATTGAAGAAAAACAAAATACTTGATGACTTGTGTTTTATGAATTCCTTCTTAATTGTAGAAAACATATGAATTCAGTCGTTTTAACTTACCGATAAATGATAATAGACAATAATGTGACACTTCCTTAGTGTACATTAAACAAATATTGGTATATAGAACGGAAAAATGAAAGTTTTATTATGTGGATAATAAATTGTGTGATAGTCGATACAACAGCACTAATCAAAATTTCATACATCACAAATGAATAATGTACTGCATTAAAGAACCGTGTCAATAATGAAATACCTAAGTCGTTTTATTTTTTCGATGATCGCTTTGTCACTTTGACATCGCAAGTATATTAAATACTGATTTGCCTTGCAATGCTTTGCGGCATTATAATAGTTCTTAGGCTGTTGTTCTGTGAATACTAACTATTAGTGTCTATATACTCAATTAGATTAGTTAAATATACATTATATATTATCATTAAAATGTATTTTTATCATTTAAAAATGTCTGGGAAAAATGATTTTTGCTTTTGAATATGAAAGAAAATACGACTAAAAACTAGGAAAATTAAAATTAAAAATATACATTAAAAAGTATATTAATTTAAAGGTAAATTGGATAATTTATTAATTCTTTTGAAATGTATTTTTAATAATACGACATCATTAACACATTTTAAATATGATGTGGTTCATACATGTTTAATAATTACTTAAACTAATGTTAGAATTTCCGAATATATCTTGGGAATTAGCAAAACGTCATAATGGTTTATTTATCATAAAATTATTTAAACACAATAACATGAGATACATGAAAACTCTAAGCCGACCATTTTATAAAGATTTTCAAAATAGACTGAGTTTGTTGAAAAAAATTTTCTTTTAAAAATGCGTAACCCAACAGTGTAGTAACAAAACTTTCCATTTTACAATGACTTATCATTAAGGGTTAATTTTTGCATAGTGTTCTAAGCTGTTAGAGTCTAATATATTTTTCAAACTTCAAAAGTTTAAGAGAAAGATATATATAAGGGTTAGAAAAACTGGGTGAATTGTTCATATAAAATTACACTAGCATTGCTAAATTGGCAATTGAAGTTAAAACCAAAAGTATTTATATGCGTAATAAAAATTAATCTAAACATCAAAATTATTTTAATACTTTATGAGTTAATTTTATTAATGTTTTATTATAATGATTTTATTTATGCTTGTTTATGACTATGTTGTTATTTAAAATTTTGTTTTGTCGAAAAAATAAACTTTTCAAAACGTGTTTTAAGTTTATATAAGTTGATTTTTTTAGCGCTAGTAACTCAATTCCTTTCAAAATAACAATTAAAAAGTCATTTTTTTAAAGGAACTTATGTTCACTTTTCTATTTTTTTAACAATTGATTTAAGTATATTATGTGTATTTGAAAACTATACAGGTGTTCAGTAAGTAAGGAAACGGGTAAGTTGTTACAAACAATGAGAACAATAAAAACCCGTTTCCTATTTACTGAACACTATAAAATACACATAAATACAATTTAAAAAAAGGCTAAATTTTACAAGAAATTATGTATTTATATTATAAAATGAATTAATAATATAACATGGAACTTATTTGATAGAAAAATGTGTCATAGGTCCCTTTTAACAAATGATTATTCAATTATGCTCAATAAATTAGATTTATAGTTTTTTTTTAAAGTTTCAAATATTTCTCTATTTATTAATTTTTAATTAATTAAGTTGACACCATGGTGTTAACTTTATTTTATATGCATTGTAAGGTGTAAGTTAGGTATCTTTACGTTCCTCTGATCCATCACCGACTACGTATGTGTGGTATTTGTTTTGCTCCTTTTTTAATTTTCATATAACAATCTTAAAAAAAACTTTTATAAATAAATTAAAAGGCATTTCTATTTTATGAGAGGTGCCTTAACCATGAAAAAAAATATTTGTACCCCTCATTATAAATTTCTAAATAAGCGCCTGTAAAGTAGGTTTATCCTTTTTTCATTGCAAATAATAATTTGTAATAAAAATACCAATATATATAGGAAATAAATGTAATTTATTTACTGTACTTTTAAATTATAATCATAAAAGTGCATATAAAAAATACAACGGGTAATATTGTAATAATTAATAGCACTATCTATTTCTGGGTTTATATGGTTACACACAAATTAATGGTGAGTATTAAATACAGTTATGTTACGTATAGGAATAATATTTTATAGTGAGTATACACCATTACTGAGCAGTATAGATTGCTCAGTCGGCGGTAAATCTATATGAATCTTTAGTCCTCATGTATAACATTTATGCTACTCATGTAATAACAACAATAAAAATAGGAATATTGCTCCGTTAGTTACTGTACAATATGTTCCTCTAATTAATGTTAGGGATACCATTACTATGAGAGCGTTGTTGTAACTTTGTTTTCATAATCAGTACTTTATTTTTCCCGTTTCACTTGTAAATTGTAATGAAACTACTACCTAGTGCTAATCAGAGACCCAATAAACTAGATTGCAAAAAAATTATAAATTGTTCATTAAAAATTGCAAATCTGTAATAGATTGTAATAACTTAACCTACAACATTTAAAAATTTTTAAAGATCTCCTGATCTTAGGGATTTATATGTACGCATTATTTTTCATATCATACATTTGAATTAACAGTGTTAAGACATAGGCGGTATTAGGAGGACATGACTCTTCTAAATTAATACTTTAAAATTCAGAAAAATGTGTATTGTTAAAGGATAACGATTTGAAGAAGAAAAATATATATATTTAGCTCCTTCCGAAAATTTATTTCAAGTCTATCCGTGCTTCAAGGCAGTAATGTGTTTAGTTATTTATCTAAATTTGTATATCTCCTTAAAATCTCTTATATCACCAAAACAGCTATCTCTAGCGTATCAAAAAGTACTGTTCAAAGAAACTTAAGTGCTGGTTCAGCACTTGGGTTTACAAGTTGCCAACCCCATCGCAAAGTTCTACTCTCATCTATACGAGATAGTACGTAGAGGTATAGGTCCACGAACAATGAACCCTTTCTTGGGTCCGGCTAACAAGAGAGACCATGTCGTGTCGTAGTTTAGCTCTTGAATAAGTATGAGCTGAATCACAACGCGACGCAGTAAGTTTTAGATACGGCGTTGTCTGCCCCAAAGAAATGCCTAACAGCAGTTCCCGGATGGATCGATGTAAAAAGAAAGGTGTCAAAAAGCGCAATTACGGAGTATGGGAATATCATATTACTTTGTCTCCCGTACTATAATAACGGTATGGTCTATACTTATATTTTCGCCTACGAACTATATGCGTGTTCAGTTTGTATTGTAAAGTATACATTTGCTTAGGTCATAAGGCATCTCGATGTATAGTCGCCGAACGGTAATTATCATGTATACGTGACGAACAGATGATAATACGTGAAAAATCACTGTCCATTCTCGGCCGTAGCCTACCAACAAAAATATTCTGCAAAAATTCTAAAGTCATGTATTAATCATGAAACAAACGGTTTTTATACACATTCCCATTTTGCGCATCGTCGAGCCGTTACTTCGTTATTATTTGTTCTATATACTGCATAAGTGATCATTGAAACATATAGACCAGGCATTTTCGTCAAAAAATATAATTACTTTTTCCTATACAAAGAATATTAGTTACACCATCTCTATTTTTTTTTTTTTTATTAAAAATAAATACATAAAATCAGCATTCAGCGGTTACATATTTAATTTGTATAAACTTAAAAAATTATTTACATCATATAATAATACAATTGCATTCACAGTTCATTTTGGAGCAGAACCAAATAAAATAAAGTGATTAGATTTATTCACTAACTTCAATTATAAATTTATTGTTTGCACTTGGTTTAAATTTCTACGAATCTTTTACAAGTTTATCTAACACTGTTTCAAACAAAACATAAAATACTACAATTAATAATATAAATGGAACACATTTTTATGTATAAATAATAAAACTTCAAAAAGTTGTATTATGTTTTTTAAAAGTGGTAACTTTTATCACAGAAATTATCTACACAATTTAATTTTAAAATCTAGTTTTATCTACACAATAATTGTTTTTTTACATTTTTCAAGTAAAAATGATTAATTT